GGATGAACTAAGATGAATTATAATAGATCAATGCTCAAATGATGCACATTTAGGCTTGTCATAAATCTTGTAGATGACGTGCATCAAGACTTCAGTCCTGTAAATTACCTTCGACTTGCAGATTTATTTCTGCTTGTGTGGATAATCAGTGTAGTGTACAGTACAATGTTGGCTGCTGTAGGAACTGCAAATTGATTCATTGTAACATAGAGAAGTTAGTAAGAGGTGAATTTAATTGTAATTGATTCCTACTTCATTTATAAACTTCCTATAGAATACTTTTAACCTTATTAAGGAGCTGCGGAGATATATTTCTAACTTCTGCCCTTTTGTCCCTGAAGGTTTTGATTCTTGGGGTGGGAGGAGCTCCTATTCAATGGTACTGTCCCTACCTCTGAGCTACGAGGCCTGGGTTGAATTCCGACCTGTTCCACTACTGGTTGGTGAAAGTATGAACTTACTTGGTTCACGGATGCCTGTACATTCCCTGTCTCATGCATAAGTGGTTCTTCATCTATGAGCTTTGATAGCGATGATCAACAGGTTAGAATATTACTGCAGCCGGTTCTAAGATCTCCCATTATCACATATATACACACACTCACCGTAAAAGTAATTACATGAATGTCATGGATGATTTTTCCCTTCTGTAGCTAGGGCTATGCATGTGTACTATAGTACTACTGCTGATGCCCTAGTTAAGGTTGCATAACCCCATATAAACTGAGAATAGAACATGAGATCTCTAATCCAATGGTTTGGATGTAAATTATTATACCTGTTTAGCTTCCAGGAAGGTTATCTTAAAGCACTTTCTTCTTCAGAACTGAACCCGAAACTTTAATTCTGCTTTCTCTCTACAGGTGCTGCCAGACCTGCTGAGTTTTCCTAACAATTTCTGTTTTTGTTTCTAATTTCCAACATTTGCAGCTTTTTGGTTTTGTTTTTGCACATTTGGCTTTAAAAAAGTCATATCTTTTTGTACCCACCCGTCAACTATTAGTGCCAGTCTTGATTATTTTTCCAATGGCATATAATGGAAGATAGCTCTGGGGACAAAGATTGGTTGGTGCAAATAACCTGTTCCCATATCCGAATTTGTGTGTAATTCAGTTTAGATTGTTTATGCTGCTACTGCCTTATTTACTGTACTTCTCACAGAAGTCCGAGTCCATAGGACTCTGTGGAGAAGCTTATGTAGGATATATGGCACAGAAAAGGGCTTTTTAGTGCAACTAATTAGTCCATGCTTGCATTTATGCTCCACTTGGGCCTTTCGTTGCTCATCCAGATCTATCATGGTATTCTGTTCTCCCTCCAAATGTTTATCTAGCTTCACCTTGACTGTATTAAAATTTAAGTTTATCAGTTTCTTTTAATTATATAGGAATTTATTTTAGGAACGTATTTTACCTGAATTTTTAAAAATACTATTTAAAATGTTTTCCATTGTTCATTTACATTATTGCTCACCGTAGAGTCAGAGTTGTACAGCATGGAGACAGACCTTTTGGTCCAACTCGTCCATGCAGACCAGATGACCTAAATTAATCTAGTCCCATTTGCCAGCATTTGGCCCATATTCCTCTCAACCCTCTCTATTCACATACCCATCTAGATACCTTTTTAAATGTTGTAATTGTACCAGCCTCCTCCACTACCTGTAGCAGTTCATTCTACAAATGCACCACTCTCTGCATGAAAATGTTGCCCCTGAGGTCCCTTTTAAATCCTTCCCCTCTCATCTTAAACCTATGCCTTCCAGTTTTGGATTCCCCTACCCTGGGAAAAAGACCTTGGCTATTCACCCTATGTGTGCCCTTCATGATTTTATAATCCAGTACTCTGGGGAAAATAGCCCCAGCCTATTCAGCCTCTCCCTATAGCTCAAACCCACCATCTCTGGCAACATCCTTGTAAGTCTTTTCCAAGCCTTTTCAAGTTTGCTAATAGTTTTTATATAACCAATTATGGTTATCCAATTTATTTTTCCAAATTCTGTTGTTAGTCACTTGACATCAGCATAGCTCCAATAGACTAACTAACATGGGACAGGGGTGTTGCTGGCTGGACAATCGTTAATTGACTGTCCCTAGTTATCTTTGAGATGGTGGTGGTGGCAGTGAGCTGCCTTCTTCAGGCACTGTAGGTAGACCCACAGGGAAGGAATTCCAGGATTTTGACACAACAATAGTGAAGGAACGGCAATTTCACTTCCAAGTCAGGATAATGAGTTGCTTGGAGGGGAGCATACAGATGGTGATGTTCCCATGTGTCTGCTGTCCACGTCCTTCTAGATGGAAGTGGTTTTGGGTTTAGAAGATGCTGTCTAAGGATTTTTGGTGAATTTCTGCAGTGCAACCTATAGATGGTGCATACTGCTGCTACTGAACATTGGTGGGGGAGGGAGACAAAGCTTGTCAATTCGATGCAAATCAAGCAGCTGCTTTATCTTGGATCATGTCAAGCTTCTTGAATTTTGTTGGAGTTGCTCTCATCCATAATATTCCATCAATGGTGGATTGGAGTTGAGCTACTCGGAGTATTCCTAGCCTCTGGCCTGCTCTTCCAGCCACTGTATGTATATATCAAGACCAGTCGAGTTTCTGGTCAATGGTAAGCCATGGGATATTGATAGTGGGGGATTTAGTGATGGTAACATCACTAAATGTCAAGGGCTGTGGTTAGATTTTCTCTCATTGGAAATGGTCATTGCCTGGCATTTGTGTGGCATGAATGTTACTTGCCATTTGTCAGCCAAATATGAATCTGCTGATGCTGGAGTCAGAGATAACCCAGTGTGGAGCTGGAGGAACGCAGCAGGCCAGGCAGCATCAGAGGAACAGGAAAGCTGACGTTTCAGGTTGGGACCCTTCTTGAGAAATCAAATGTGAATGTTGCCCAGGTCTTGTCGCATTTGAGGGTTGAGTTTGTTGACTCATTTCCAACAACAACCACCACAACCATCTTCCTACGTTCCAGGTCTGACTCCAACCGGAGTGTTTGACTCTTGATACCCATTGATTCCAGTTTTGTTAGGGCTCCTTGATGCCACACTTGGTCAAACGAGGCCTTGATGTCAAGAGCCATCACTCTCACCTCTAGAATTCAGCTGTTTTGTCCGTGGATATACCGAGGCAGGTTTCCGCATCATCTGTTAGACGCCGGTGTTGTAGGTGTGCTGGGTGAGCTTGGCTGGGGGACCGACAAGTTCTAGAGTATATGCCTTCAATATTATTGCCAGAATGTTGTCAGGGTCCGTAACCTTTGCAGTATCCAGTACCTCCAACAGTTCTTGATATCATGTGGAATGAATTGAATTGGCTGAAGGCTGGTATTTGTCATGCTGGGGACCACTGGAGGAGCCTGAGATGAATCATGCACTCAGCATGACTGGGTGAAGATTGCTGTGAATGCTTCGGCCTTGTGTTTTGCACTGATGTGCTGGGCTGTTCCGTTGTTGAGGATGGGTACATTTGTGGAGCTGCCTCCTTCATTTGTTTAACTGTCCACCACCTTTCACGACTGTGGCAGGATTGCAGAGCTTGGTTGTGGGATTGCTTAGCATTGCCTATTACTTGCTGCTTATTCTGTTTCACACACAAGTAGTCCTGTTTGGTAGCTTCATCAGGTTGATACCTCAGTTTTAGGTATGCCTGGTGCTGCTCCCTGCATGCCCTCCTGCAATGTCCAATAAACCAGTGTTTAACCCTGACTTATCAATGTTGAATGGGAGACATGTTGGCAATGAGGTTGCAGATAGTGTTTGAGTACGGTTCTGTTGTTGTTGGTGGCCTATAGAGCCTCATGGATTCCCAGTCTTGAGTTGCAAGGTCTGTTGGAAGTCTGCCCCATTTAACACAGTGATAGTGCCACACACCACGATGGAGGGTATTGTTACTGTGAAGGTGGGACTTCATCTCCTCAAGAACTGTGTGGTGGTTACACTTAGCGTACTGTCATGGGCAGATGCATCTGCAGCCAGCGATTGGTAAGGATGAGGCCAAGTATATTTTTCCCTCTTATTGGTTCCCTCACCACCTGCCACAGACCCAGTCTAGCAGCTATGTCTTTTACGAACCGACCAGCTCAATCAGTAGTGCTGATTTGAGCTACTCTTGGTGGTAGACATTGAAATCCCCAGTAAGTACATTTTGTGCCCTTGCCACCCTTAGTGCTTCCTCCAAGTGTTGTTCAACATGATTCATCAGCAGAAGGAGGATGGTGGTTGTAATCAGCAGGTGGTTTCCTTGCCTATGTTTAACTTGATGCCATGAGACTTCATGAGGTCTGGCATGAATGTTGAGACTCCCAGAGCAACTCTATCCTGACTGTATACTACTGTGCCACCACTTCTGGATCTGGCCTGCTGGTAGGACAGTACATATCCAGGGATGGTGATAGTTGATTTTTATGAACTTGATTTTTATCATTCTTTTGTTCTTCTGGTATCCCAGTTCTATGCTGCATTAGAGACCATAGAGCTTTGCTGGTGGCTAGGTTTAGCAGACAATGCAAATTAAAAGATATTTCCAAACTTATACTAACATTCTGAACAATCTTGAGTTGTCAAAATCTTTTTATTAAATACTTGGCCATTTGCAGTTATTTAAGAGTGTTGCGCAAATAACGAGAGAAGTGTTAAAGATGTTACAATTTGTTGTGCAAATGTGTTGCCTTTAACTCATTTAATTGTGTTTGTGAAATTTCTTAGAATCTTATTTATGCAGTAAATACTAAAAAAATGTATTTTTTGTTCGAAATTAATGTTGATTCTTCTGACCAGTACACACACATTGAGCCATGTCAGAAGAATTCTATATTGCACAAGGTAATATACTGTAGCTGTAATCTCAATAACAGTAACTTCCATGGCTACTAATGGGAAACAATTAATTTTGTCTTTCACTTTTCAGCAACTTCACACAGGCACCAAATTTTTTCATTGTGCATGATATAGCCAGATAATTCTGTAAAATGTACCATTGTTTATTTTACAGAACAGTGACGATCAAATGAAAAAATTGAATGTTTAACACTGGATAAACAGTATAAATCAAGAAGAGAACTGAAACAACCATCTAGTTTCTGAAAGTCAAGTAAAAAGAACGTTGTGAATCTTATTGTTTTCTTTACAACAATCAAAATGAGGCAGCTGAAAGGAAAACCAAGAAAAGAAACTTCAAAAGACAAAAAGGAAAGAAGGCAAGCCATGCAAGAGGCTCGCAGTCAGATTACCACCATAGTGTTTCCCACATTAGCTGTAGTTGTCCTGTTAATTGTTTTGTTTGTTTACGTGGCCACGCGACCAACCATTGCGTGAAAGAAATATTACAGAGCATTTTATGAAGAAATTTCATCTCCACTGTAATTGATTAAAATTGAGTAAATCCATCCAGGATTAAACGCCTCTCAATTATGGAAACATCTGTCCAAATTTAATTCCATGTTTTCTGGTCTTAACGTGTTTTTAAGAGTATTGTTACCCAGTGGTATAGTATACACATGCTCATTTCTCTTGTATGTGCCTTTGAAGCATTTGCTGGGACATTTTTGTTTGCCCTTTAAAAGAATTTGGAAGCATTTCTTGTATCCTGTGCAGAAATTAAGTGTAACTTAACTAATGCTGTAATTCAAAAAAATTGTCTGAGGCCATTTTGTTGCATTGTCTGTACAGTAGTCTTGTTTTAAACACATTTTTAGGATGAACTTCACCACTCTTGCCAAAGGATAATCCATTCTTGTTTTGGATGCATATCACTTGAAATACAATGATTATAAATTGTAAATGTTTATTTTTAGAATAAAATCAAAATGTTCATACTTGTGCTGCATGATTGAACGTTCTGAAATAGCAAACTATTTTAGACATTTTATCCTTTCACAGGTTGAGGTTGTCGTTGGCACTATTGTTCGAGAAAAGGTGCAGGGAGCCACCATCTTGACCCACTGCAGCCTATATAATGTAGGGATGCACTGTGCTGTTGGGAAGGGAAATACAGGATTTTGGCCTGGTGACAATGAAGGAATGGCAATATAGTTCTAATTCAGGATGGTGTGTGGTTTGCAGGGCAACTTACAAATGGTGATTCTTCTATGTACTTGTCACTAAATAGCAGAGGTTCAGTTTGGAAGATGCCGTCAAAGGAGTCTCGTTGAGTTGTCACAATGCATCTTGAAATGGCACACAATGCTACTACTGTGTGTTGGTACTGAACAAAATAAATGTCAAAGGAGGTGGATGGAGTGCAGACTGCTTTGTACTGGATTGTGTTAAATTTGAATGTTGCTGAACCTACATCTGTGCAGGTAGGTGGAGTATATTTCATCACACCCTTGACTTGAACTTTGTGCATGGGCTTTGCAGAGTTGGAACGCTAATTACTTGGCACAGATTTCCCACCTTCTGACTTGCTCTTGTAGCCACAATATTTTTGTGGCTTATCCACTTCAGTTTCTGTTCAATGGTAAATATCAGGATGTTGATTGTTGGGATTTCAGTGTCAGTAATGGCATTGAATGTCAAGAAGAGACAGATCCTCTTGTCAATCTTGGCATTGTGTAGCACAGATATTACTCACCACTTATCAGCCCAAGCTTTGTGGGCAACTAGATGATGCTGTTGGCTATCAAAAGTAATTAAGATAATTGCCTTAAGAGCACTTCCATTCTTGTACTTGTATAATAGGCCTCTGGATCTACCTTCATCAATAGCTAAATAAAAACCAAAAGAACTGCGGATGCTGTAAATCAGGAACAAAACCAAAGTCGCTGGAAAAACTCAGCGGGTCTGACAGCATCTGTGAAGGAAAAAAGAGTTAACTTTTCGGGTCCGGTGACCCTTCCTCAGAATTCCCGGTTCTAAGGGTTACAGGACCCAAAACGTTAACTCTGTTTACTCTTCACAGATGCTGCCAGACCTGCTAAGCTTTTCCAGCAACTTTGGTTTTGTACATCAATAGCTAGATGTTTCAATAAATCAATTATTTTGCTGTGATGATACTTTTACAAAGATAACTGGTTTTGTGGAATTCTGCCCAACAGAGAGGTTATTTTACACTGTGACCTTTAAACATATAATTTCAGTTGGCAGTGGTGCAGTTTCATATGAATATGTAAAGCTGAGGAAAAGAATACCCTTTCTCACACCTCCCTATGTTTGTGATTTGGAAGGAAGGGTAGGGATTTCTGACAGTCTGGACACAGCCGTCCGACCGTGCCACTACCAAGATATTTTTTCATAGATTTACTAATATGATGTGACATTTTATGTGCTTTGCAATAAAATCAAAATAGCTGGAATTATTCAGCACATCATGTGCTATCTGTGGAGCATCAGAAGTCAAAGTTCCAAGTCTAACAACTTTCCGTGCACATAATTATCAGTATCCTCTTGCGTTTTTTTAAGCCAGAATTAATTATGCCTTCTGTTTTAATATTACTTGCAAGTTTTAATACCACTACATATAGTCTTATAATTGTACACAATAAAGAGCATTGGCTTTGCAACAAAGACCTGTGGGGCACTTCTCCCTGCTCTCAAATACACAGAAATTTTCCTTACCCAAATATCACACATTTAATCTGCACAAATATAGATTCGCCTGTAGTATCTTGTCAAAAGTTTTCTGAAAGTCCAGACAAACCTCATCCACTACTTTTGCCCCATTTACTATTTGGCACCTCTTCAAAGATATAGATATTGTGGCAGTTTTTGAAGCTATTCAATTTTTAGAAAAAAGTCACTTCTAGATTGTGCAGTGAATTAATTTGCCCTTTCCAGAAAGATAAGGTAGAAAGTTCAGTTCATTTGACTCTAGTACAAGTTGAGGTGCATGTTCTCACTAGCATTTTGCTGGTAAGAAGCAACAGCAAAGCTTTTTTTTCAACTAGGAGTAATAGATTTTTGTAAATTATTTTTCCCTCCCCAGGGACTTCTTTCACAAATTTGAATATCTTAGGAAGAAACTTCCATTGGAATCTAAGTTTTATCATTGTAATATAACTGAAATCATCCACTGCAGGATCAAGATCAAGAAATTTCAAGCATAAATGAATTCCTGTTCAATTACATTTGTCATGTTTTGCACTAATTTAAAAAATGCTAAAAGATGGCCCTATCCAAAAGTCTGGTTGTATCACAGACCAAATTAATCATTTTAAGTTTCTGTTAGTTGTATCTCTAAGGAGAGCCTTAAAATTCACCTGAAAACCCTGGACCGCAGAAATGACAAGTGCGTTGTCACTGCGCTCATGAGTCCTACCCAGCTCAACACCAATGCACAATTGTACCAGGGTCTCTTAATCCCAGATTTTACAGAAATGCAGTGTCCCTCAGCATTGCATTGGGATGAGTTAAAATCTAGGGGGGTGACAGGACACATTCCAGTTTTATAGCCTGTGCTGCTATAGGTTAAAGTCTAATCTTTCAGTTTTAGTGAACAGATGAGTGAAGGATTGGTGGACGAGGGCTAGTCAGTCTGGTGATCTGGAGAATAGTCAAATGATCAAGGATTCAGGTATATATTGCAGCTACCCATGCGTTTGGACAATTACCTAGGTGAGTATTTGAGGAACTATCCTTAGGCTTGTGTCTCAAGACTTCGGTATGGCATGACATGCATCTTTTCTTTGTTCTTCTGGTCTGAGGATCCAGAGATTGGAAGATTTAGCCCAAGTTATGTTGAATATTTTAAGCGAATGGACACACATAGCCACATTTTAAAAGCTTTTAAATATACCTTTCAATTTACGAAAGAAATGACCACAAATTTATCTAGTACTCATTACTGTGTAGTTTTTGAAAGTAAATATTAGTTATTTTAGAATTATTTTGCTAATGGGTGCTTGACCAAACTTAATTTAAAAATGCTTGCGTTTTGTGATGAACGTATTTTTTGCTGTTTATAAAGCTGCACCAGGTCACTGTCAATAGATGTGAAGCTGTAAAAGCACAGCAGGTCAGACAGCATCTGAGGAGCAGGGAAGTCGGCGTTTCAGGCCGAAACCCTTTGGCGGGACTGGGGATGGTGTGAGTCTGGAGGAAGAGTAGGTGGGATGGTGATAGGTGGATGCAGGTAGGGTATTATTGTGATTGGTCAGTGGGAAGGGTGGAGCAAATTGGTGAGTAGAAAGATGGATAGATTAGGTCAGGTCAGGGAGGGCTGGATGTGGGATAAAGCTGGGGGTGGAAGGATTTTGAAGCTGGTGAAGTCAATGTTGAGGCCATTGGGCTATAAGCTCCCAAGGTGAAATATCTATTGATCCTCCAGTTTACGTTTGGCATCACCGCTCCCCCCCTCACCACCCCCCCGCCTCCAGCCCCATACCCTCCCTCTATTTACTTCTGGACTCCCCCCTCCCCAGTCCTGATGAAGGATTTTGGCCCAAAACGTTGACATTCCTGCTCCTCGGATGCTATCTGACCTGCAGTGCTTTTTCAGATTCACGTCTATTGACTCTGGCTTCCAGCATCTGCTGTCCCTACTGTCTCCATGCACCAGGTTACTGTTCTTAAACATAGGAATATTTCTAATGCCATATAAAAAAGAATCCTTTAAAATTCTTGAATTGTGCTGATTCATGACAGATTTTGGATTTGATCAGGTGCAAAAATGTGCAGGGACCTATGGGACAGAAAGCAATTATCAAAACTAGTTCAATTTGCGTTTGGATCAACAATTGGGGCCAAAATGAATCGCTTGACATATATTTTTACCAATGGTAAGAATAATTTACTTCTAGCCCTCAAGCGACTCTCAGTTTTCATGCTTCATATTTATATGGTGAATTCATACAAATTACCCTAATTTCAAAAAAGCATAGTACAAATGAGATGAAAAACCTCAATGGAAATCATTGTTGCTGCAATCATATTCATATTCACTTCAGTTTTTGAAGGGTTGATTCTATCAGAAGTTCCATTGGACGCCCAATTGAGAACTGTTTGTGCTGAGGATGGCTTCAGTTTTGGATCTGTTTGGCTAACAGTAAATATTATGTTACTGATGACAATCTCTAAATGAAAACATTATCATCTGTGGGCTTCAAGATGGTAGAAAATAAAGTAAGTAAATGCTAAATTAAGTTGGTAATATTACATTATATTTCCACTTATTTAATATTTCTGCTTGTCTTTTATTTTATAAAATGATTTGGATGAAAATCTAGGTGGTCTGGTTAGTAATTTCTGAAGAAGGGTCCTGACCCGAAATGTCAACTTTCCTGCTCCTCTGATGCCGCCTGACCTGCTGCGTTCCTCCAGCTCCACACTGTGTTGACTCTGACTCCAGCATCTGCAGTTCTTGCTATCTCCTGGTCTGGTTAGTAAGTTTGTATTTGTGGATTATGAGGAAGGTTATCAGGATACAGCAGGACAGAGACCAGTTGGAAAGTTGGGCAAAGAAATAGCAGTTGGAGTTTAATCTGGACAAGTCTGAAGTGATACATTTTGAGAGGTCAGTTGGAAGAAGAACATTAATAAATGGCAGGTCCCTTAGGAGCATGAGTGGACTGCCCCTACAGTGCAGAAGCAGGCCATTCAGCCCATACTGACTCTCTGCATAAAGATTTGTAGCTTGGGTTCTGGGTGAGGTTGTTGACTTGCTTGCCGAGCTGGCTGGTTATAGTTCAGACGTTTGTCAGGATGCTAGGTAACATCATCAGTGTGGTCTCCAATGAAGCAATGTTGTTCTATTCCACTTAGTATTTACATGATCCAGTCTGTTGATGTGTTTTGTGTCATTAAAAGTTCTTTTTTTGCAAGGGTTTATATATGGGCAGGACCACCGTAGAGTGAAAATACTGTGCAAGGACTGCCAAAA